AAACCAACTTTCAAGCCCACGCGGTAAAGAGCCCATAAAACCGACTACAAACGTGGAGGATGGCAAAGGTTTGCTCGTTTTCAGTCCATGCAAACAGAAAACTTAGCTCATGCAGTTTCCCCAACAAAGTACACCATATTAGAGTGTGGCGTAGGAGCTGATTGAGCTAACATCTAACATATACCAAGGGCACACCTATGTCCCGACTACGGCAGATGGAGGTTGGTGTGGTTGCTAACCGCGGCTAAGGTCTCCACCTTACGAATCAAAACTAAGCTGATTCCTCACAAACGCAAGAATCAGGACTACACACACACACAGCTTTACTGGGCGGGGGTAGGCAGTGGCGTCAAGGCTCACCCCGTTTAACCAAGTGCCTGGTTTGACTACCAAGTGCGCGGAGCCAGAAACAAAAGTGGCTACAGTGACGTGGTAGCCACTACCCCTCCCAGGCGCCAGGATGCACTTTCACTCTGCCGCTCTACACCCAGGGCGCTAGCCTTTTGCGTAGAGCGATCAGCTAATTCTCATGTGCGCAACCCATCCGGAGCAGAAAAACTGAACCAAATGCGTTAATCCTAGGCATATTCTGACGAAGCATAGGCTCTGTGACTGTTCTATTAAATGTTGCCCAATAACCAAAATAAGCTGATATAGCAGGAGCGTGCAGGGTAGAAAATAAACCGACATAGGTGTAGGAAACTCTCAGTCAAACACGTATACAGTAGATTGGCAAACTCATAAAATGTCGTCGTGGTGAAGACGAGAAAAGTAATGCTGTGTGAGATCAATGCATGCGGCGTCCCCCTAAGTTTTACTGCAGTAAACTACGTAACATAAGTAAAAAAAAGACATATATTGGTTGAAAAATTACTACCTACTCACGCAAAAAAATGGTTAATTTTCACTAAAAACTCGGAACTGGGATAATGACTATATTACAGATCACTGATATAATGTTAAATATAAATATGTATTAAAGGCAGGAAAGCGCAAAAAACGGCAAATTAATACAGAATAAGTATAAATGCAAAATTGTACATAGTCGCCGGTTATAAACCCACCTCGGGCCCAGTCCAAATTGGGCTTAATAAGCGGCTGGGCCTATTAACCGTGGGCTTAATAACC